TCTCTAGGCAGGGTCACGTAGTTGGATCAAACCCCAGAGTAACCTATGTTATCAGAAATGTCAATGTTCCGCCCACGTACACAGCCTGGCCTACTGTAGATTCACATGCAAAGTGTTTTAGCATACTCATTATCTATTTTCATGGGGTTTTTAAAAGAGAAACTGAGTTCTTTCTATGCACAGTCCAAGCCCTTTTCTCTGCATTGTTAGGTAACCGACTGTATCCATAACACATACTCGGTCTTTATGTTGCACTCTGGTTTAGCTGGAAGCATACAGTATAAGTTGCATTCTCCAGTAAGACACTGCTACAAACAGACAAGGTTGCAGCTACATTGCACCATTCTGTCTGAGTGGCATTAACAAGGATTATTTTTTTTCCTTTTCAACAAATCACATTATTGTCCCAACAATGGTGTGCCATTCATCTGCAGAATGCAGTCAGGGGCAGCAATGCTGAACTGGCTGTCAAGCTGACAGCCACAAGATGGTAAGCATATTGGATTGAATGTTTTTTAACTGGAACAAATGGGGGTTATAAGATGTTTATTAAATGCTCAGATTTCTGAGTGTATAGTTAACCTATTATTATTACCTGCAGCCTTTTAGTTACAGTGTTGCTTGGAGGTCTCTGTGTTCACTTATATGGATCAAGGCTCTGCTTCTATGTTGAAAACCCACATTTTCAGACTACACCTGGAAACAGCTACCACTTAGTTACGTGTCATTTCTTATAGAAGAAAACAACTCTAAGCATTAGTATTATAGCAGTGAACACTTTTAGTTTGGGAGGGGTGCTTCCAGTCATATCCAGCATGTTTCCAATGCCTTTTATTTCACTTGTTGTAATTCACTACATACAAAAGCACTAGCCAAATGAATGTAATGTTAAGGTGAGCCTTGGCAGTTCAATTTTAAAAAATTAGAGCTCATCAAGAGTCTTCGACTATAATTTTAATACTATGATTTTTACTCCTGGTGTTGTTATGACCAGACCAAGAAA